GCTGTCTGTTCTCTGACCCCAGATAAATTTATTAGAGTACACAATATTTTGGGGAACACAATACCACCACACCACACCTTCTGGTGTGTCTCAGTCACTGTTCTACTGCTGTGAGGAGACACCATGACCAAGGCAGCTCATAAAATACAGCGCTTAATTGGGAACTTGCTTACACTTTCAGAGGTTTAGTCGACCATCATCATGGTGGGGAGCATGCAAGCAGTTGCCGGAGCAGTAGCTGAGAGCTACATCCTGATCCATAGGCAGAGAGAGAGACAGAGAGACAGAGAGACAGACAAACTGAATCTGGGCTTGGCATGGGATTTTGAAACCTCAAAGCCCACCCCAGTGACACACTTCCTCCAACAAGGTCACACCTCCTAATTCTTTCCAATAGTGTCATTTCCTGGTGACAAAGCATTCAAATATATGACCCTCTGGGGGGACATTCTTATTCAAACCACCACAAAAGCCCATGCCGAGCCCAGAGTCTGTCTCTGTCTCTGTCTCTACCTATGGATCAGGTTGTAGCTCTCAGCTACTGCTTCCGTGGCTGTCTGCACGCCACCATGCTCCCCACCATGCTGATAATGGACTAAGTCCAATTAAATGGTTTCTTTTATAAGAGCTGCCCTGGTCATAGAGAGCCTCTTCAAAGCAATGGAGCAGGGACTAAGACAGGAAGGGGCACCAGGAGAGGGGTGTTGCCGTGACGGGCCGGGCCATGGTGTTTGTTGTAGGAATATGGAAGACTTGGATGACTGGAGTAGAAAAGCTACTGAACACTCTAAGTGGGGCTTACTGGGCCATCCTAGTAGGAACATGGATGATAGTGGTGCTGGGAGTGATACAGATTATGACGGTTGGGCTCAAGGTTTCAGAGGAGAAGCGTATTAGTAAATGGCCGAGAAACTGTTCTTGTGATATTTTGGAGAAGAATGTGGCTGCTTTCTGCCCGTGTCCAAAAATATCTGCCTGAGGTGAAATTGAAGAGTTTGGGATTAATGGAAGTGGCAAAGCAGATTTCAAGGTAGCCTAGTATTGATTGACTGTGTTGTGCAGTTATTGGTAATCACTCTTATGCAGGTCTATAATGAACAGTAGCAAGCCAGCAAGAAGTCCCCTCCATGGCCTCTGTATCAGCTCCTTGCCTCCAGGTTTCAGCTGTGCTTGAATTCATGTCCTGACTTCCTTCAGTGATGAACTACAATGTGGAGGTATAAACCAAATAAATCATGTCCTGGATCTCGCTCTGTAGACCAGGCTGGCCTTGAACTCAGAGATCTGCCTGACTCTGCCTCCTGAGTGCTGGGACTTAAGGCACCACCACCCAGCACTTGATGGTTCATCGTAACAATGGTAACCCTAACCAGGACCTGGTATGTGGATCTGCTAAAGGGTGTGGAAGAAAGGAGCTTTTCCTCTCTGCCTGCTTGCCCTTCCTCTCACAGGCAGTCCATTCCTTCACTAGCCTCAGAGTCTACTTCTTCATGATTCTGATGTATACTCAAGAGCAGCTAAGACATCCAGTCTCATGGACTGAACAACTACTGGATTCTTGGACTGTTCATCGGTAGACAGTCGTTGTTGGACTAGCTGGATCACAGCTTGTAAGCCACTCTAAGAAATCCCCTTTTATATTTTCTATATATTCATTTTTCACTATGCTTATTCTGTATTTCATTGTTCCACCAGACAACCCTGACTAATTCAGCCACTTACTCATTTTTCTCAAAGATTCTGAGCTGGGAGTGCCCTTAGGAAATCCCTTTCTCCTGTAAGTACCTGACAAGCATTCTGTTATCTGCAACTAAGAACAAGGGGCCAGGTTGGGGCCACCAGACAAGCCCATGACCTTGGCTCTGACTCATGTAGTTTTCCAGTCACAGTGGAAAGTAAGGTCTGATGTCTTGCAACAAGCAGTCTCGTTTGCAACTAGACCCTGCAGGTGTCAACTAAGCCATTGGAACCGAGGGCTGAGTGAAGTCACCATCCGAGACTGCCGCTCAGAAAAACTCCAGATACAAATGTTGTCAAGATAATTAAGTCTAGAACAGCGGTTCTCAACCTGTGGGTGATGATGCATTGGGGGGTCCAATATCAGATAACCAGACACCCTGCATATCAGATTATTTACATTATGATTCTTAACAGTAGCAAAATTACAGTTATGAAGTAGTAACAAAATAATTTTATGGTTGGGGGGGTCACCACAACGTGAAGACCCATATTAAAGGGTCGCAGCATTAGGAAGGTTGGAAACCACCGGTCTAGAGTCTTCAGGGAGCTGGAGACTTGTAGACACGACTCCTGTGTTTACAAGCCCCTGAGAAACCTCCCGGTTCTGTCTCTTTCCTCTCCTAGTTTGAACTAAGGCAGCATCTTACATCTGACCACCCTGCCTCCCCTCTCCTCCACCCAACCATCCTTCCCTTTCCACTCCAGCCTTTCTCTGGTCCTCCTTTCTCCTGAATCTCCAAAATCACTCATGCAGGCAACCAAGCAATTCTAAATGATCTTGTGCCATGTGTCTAGGGGTTCTTAGGTTTCGAGGTTTTCAGAGCTGGGCTCACATCCCTTATTAGCCACTGCTATAATCTGAGTGCTTGTGGCCCTCCAGAATCCATACATTGAAATCCCAAACCCTGAGATGAAGGGATCAGGAGGCAATAGGATCAGATGAGTTGTTTTTTCCATCCTATATTTATAAGGTAGAGCCCTTGTAAAATTCCTTATAAAACAGAACTGAGAGGACACTTTGTACCCTCTACCATGAGGATATGGGGAGCAGGCATGTCTATGAACCAGGAAGCAGATCTTCCTTTGAAATTTGGACTCTTAGTCAAACCTTTAGAAATAAATTTCCATTGTTTATAAGCACCCCAGTTTCTGTATTCCCCTTCAGTAGCATGAATGAACCAAGATAGCCATTTTAGCCTTGTCATTTCCAGCCTTAGCCTCCAGTCTATAAAGGCTGAATGCTATGTAAGCCACAACCATGACACTGTTGACATTTCCAGGAAAACGCAACACACAGGAAGTGGAAGAAGTGCTCGTCCCCACTGCCCTGCCATTGAAGGGCAAGTGCTGCCAACAGATGCCACAGGGGGACCCAGGGAGGGTGACACTTGCTTCTCTCTGCTCAGCTGGTCGATAGCAGAGCTGAGTCAGGGATGAATAACACAGAAGTTTCTCTGCCATCTGTTCTAGTGACGCTCCCTTCTGCTGAGCTTACTAAACCTCCTTCCGCCTCCCCATGGCTACAGCCCATGCCAAGTCCTGCCTGGGTGTTAGATGTCCTTGATCACCCTGCCTCGGCTAAGCACTACAGGTATGAAGACTGTGTTGCTGTTGGGCATGGCAGAACACCCCTCTAATCCTAGCA